CCGCCCTTCCTCAAGGCCCGGGACGAGCTCATCTGGGGACAAGCTGCCTGTCTCCTGCTGCAGCTCTGGCTGCTGTGAGCTTAGCATTTCTAGGGATGGTACATGGACATTTGCCTCCAGCACCGCCTCTTCACGGCTGCACCTTTCATTAGTTCCTGTGCTCATCTTGACCCCACCTCTGCCTTAGGTCCTTCACTAGTCTCCTCCACACCTGTGTGAGCCACAGAAAGTGGACTGTGAGTGCGGGGGAGGGGCCAGCAAAGCCCTCCCGGGCTGTGTCTGCACCTCTCCCTGCCTCAGTTTCTCTTTGAGGATGATGGCTTTCATCATTAATTCAGTGAGTTAATATGGGAAGAGTTCAGGGCAGTCTCCAGAAAAGCAGGCAGTCATGTGTGTTTATGAAGTAAAGCGAGGTAAGAACGAGAAGATGAAGTTCTGCACCCTCAGCAGCTGCCATCGGTCTGCCATCCATCACGGCAGGTGAGTCAAGGCCCAGCCTCCCTTCCACACAGTAAACACTCCAGCTTTATTTGACCCTTGTTTTATTATCTTGTGTTCTAATTTCGTTTATGTTGCTGTGATGGAAACACTCCAATGACCAAAAGCAACTTAGGCGGAAAAGGGTCCATCACTGTGGGGAGTCAAGGCTGGAATCCAAAGCAGCTAGTCAGATGGCGTCCGCAGTCGAAGGCAGAGAAAATAAACGTACCCTTGCGGCCAGCTCTCTTACTCATCTGGTGTCTTCACTCTCTTATGCTGTTCAGAACCTCGTGCCCAGCGAATGTTGTTAGTGTTCCTCCCTAAACTAACAACAAGACAGTCCCCCACAGCCAAGCCCATCGGCCAGTCTATTCCACTCAGTTCCTCAACTGAGTCTCTCTTTCCAGCCAGGTGATTTCAGGTTGTGGCAAGTCGGCATTTAAAACCAAAGGGAACATCTTCCCTCTTAAAAAACAACACTTTACTGAAGTGTGGTTGGCACGTGAAAAGCTGTTTACATTCCGTGTATACAACTAGGTGAGTTTGGGGTGAAAATACGGCGTGATCTTCACCACGAAGGTCACGGACATATCCTTCATCTTTTCTGGAGTCTCAGCTGGGCCTGGTGGTGCAGTACTATAGTCCAGGACACTCAGGGGACTGAGGCAAGAGTACTGCAAATTCAAGTCCTACCTGGGCCAGAGAGAGTTCAAAGCCAACCTAGGCAAGTTATCAAGGTCCTGTCTCAAAATAAAAAGTACAAAGAGAGCCTGGCCTCCTGGTCTATGTCTATAGCTCCTAGTACCTGGGAGGTGGAAAAAAAAGAGGATTCAAGGTGGCAGGGTGGTGGTGGCACACACCTTTAATCCCAGCACTCGGGAGGCAGAGGCAGGCGGATCTCTGTGAGTTCGAGGCCAGCCTGGTCTACAGATCAAGTTTCAGGACAGCCAGAACTGTTACACAGAGAAACCCTGTCTCTAAACAAAAACAAAACAAAACACCAAGGGGGGGGGAAGGAAATTCAAGGTCAGTCCTCCAATACATAGGGAGTTCGAGGCCAGCCTAGCTGGGCAACACAAGAGGCTCTCTCAGAACAAAAGAAAAGTCAAGGGGGGCTGAGAGTGTGGCTCAGTAGGGGTGTGGCAAGCCTGGCCTCCAATTGCACCTCTAGCTCCCCTACATGACCTGGGGTTCCTTTGTCTCATCCGGGTGCCTGGTGATAGTCTGGGTCTTCTCTCCATCCTGGCCACTCCTACCCCAAGAACTCCAGAACCCTCACCTCTAGCCCCACCACCCCCCCAAGCCCTTTCCACCAGACACAGTTACAGGGTGCCTCAAATTGCAGACATCCCAAAGGGACTCAGGTTTACTCTGTGCCGCTGCCGCCCTGCTCCTCATAGCGGGGGGGTCGTACCGTACCGCTCCACCGGTCCACAAGTAAAGCCTCCCAGCTCCACTGCCAACCTCAGTCAACAGACCCTGCTCCGAGTCCTGCTGAGTGAAGTCCTCCTTCCACTCTGGGAGTCACAGGGCCAGTCGTATTTCAACGCAGACCACTCTCAATTAGCCTGCGTCTCTGAACTCTGTCCATGGTCTCATCCGTCTGCTCCTCTCAGAGTCCTGCCTGCTATTCTGAAGCTCGGCAGGCAGATGCTTCCCTCTTTGTGCTCACCACTGTTCCCTCTTCCACACCCACCACATGGCGCCTCCCTCTTTTTCCAGGTTCAAATGTCACCTCTTTAGACTTCTTGGTGGCTGTACACAACACATCACCTGCTGGTTTTTATCCCCCCTACCTTTACAGGGTTACTTTCCCCCCAGCATTCATCACAGCACCCCATCATAAGAAACTGTTCGTTTCCTTGGTAACTGTCTGCCCTACCAGGGTGTGCTCCTGATGAGGGCAGGGCTCTTTGTTCTGTTCTTAGGTGCTTAGAACTCTGCCTGGTGTATATTAGAAGGCCAGAGAGTGTTTATTGCACACATGCGTAAGTGAATGAATGGACAAACGAATGAATGGATGAATGGATGAATGCATAGGAAACCCTAGAAGGGAGGGGGCTCTTCTGGTCTCATTCATCCCACCCTCCCTCGCTGCTTGACTGGCCTCTGGCTGCTGGGCCTGGGGCAGGGTACACCAGAGCTGCTCATAAACGTGTGATTGCTGGAGAGGCAATAAACGTTTTCCGAGCAAATGAGTAACCAGGTTTCTGCAACTCCAGTGCTGCTGGGAACAAGGAGGCTACTTTGAGAAGCCGGTGCTCCACTCTCTCCAGGGAGAGTCCTTAGTCCCTGATCATCCTGGCCTGGCTCTTCCCAACCCACAGCTGTTCCCTCCTACTGGAGGGCAGTTAGTGCTGTAAATACTGTGGTCTGCTTCTGGACAGGAACCATGTAAGAGCAACAGCTGGAGAGAACCTTTACAGTAATGCATACAGACTGGCCAGGGACCAGAGCATCCTAAACTCCAATTCCTACCAATTCCTGTCTCCTATAGGCACTGCACACCCCCCTCATACAGCGAAGGATACAAAAGCTCAGAGACTGTATGGCTTGATTTAGGTCTCCATATTAGTGAGTGGTAGGGGTGAGACTTGACCCTGGTCTTGGGGTTCCCTAAAAGCCCAATTTACATAAGCCTCCTACACCCATGCAGGACATGTTATTAAACAGTATGCCCAATTAACAGATTTGAGACCTGAGTCACAGACAGGACAAGCAACTTCGAGGTCACCCAGCGTCATCCATGGCAATAACTTAAACACCACCTCTAGCAACTTAAGATTTAGATTGCAAACTTCTGTTTAGGAGTGAATTTACCCAAAACAGTCAGGAACAGGGTATACAGAACAAGCAACAGCAAGCTGTAAAGTCCACCCAGCTTGCCTGCGTCTCTACAGCATGTCCCCTCTCAGTTCCCGGATGATCCCCATCCTGGTAGGGGAAGGCCGTTGCTGTATCTGAGACAGAAGGGCACAAAGTCCAGTCCAGGCCTTACTCACTGAGATGCCTGCCCTGCCTGTGACATGGGAACATTAATAGGTAATGACTCAGAGGAGGAGCCTGGAAGGGAAATGCGGAGGCCTGAGGCCTTCGAGAACCAGGAAAGGAAGAAGAGGGGCGAATGTGTAGGGGCGAATGTGTAGTCGAGTCAGACATCAGGGACCCTGGGGGTGATTCTCTCAAAAGAGGTAAAGTGCAGGTAACAGCCCTGCAGGAAAGTGAAAGAAAAGCTGAAGTTACTCCCAGACCGAAGCCAGGAAAGAGAAATTCAAGCTGAGACAGGGGACGGAGCCTTTAAAGTGGGTTGACTGAAACCTACACTCAGTAAATGTTCATGACAGCTGAGATGTCTCCCCACACATCCCCGGGCTCACAGTGCACTTCTCAACACAAATGGTTCCCTTAATACTCACCAGCTCCCCAGTCCTGCTCAGCTTTTAGTCATTTCTCATCCCTGGGAACGGGAGCCGGAATGTCTGAGGCATCCACCCTTGCTGCCCCTACCAAACCTTGATCCCAACGCCCTGTGCCCGAGGCCTGCCTCCCACCCTTACAATAAGCCACGAGAGGGAGCAGACTGGGCCTGACACAAAACACAAAACGGGTGCTCAGAACATGTTTTAAGTGAATGGTTGATCCCTGCTGCTGGACCTAAACTCTAGACCGGTAACCTCTGGGGTCCCACAGTGGCTGGCTTCTGGGCATCTCTGTGGGAAGAAGGGGAGGGGACACCCAATCCTCGCTTTAGGCATTCTACCCCTCAGACTGGGAAGGGGTTTATTTTGGTGTCAAGCCCCAGAGTACACAGTTCCCTACTCCTCGGGCAGGGCCTGTGTGCAGCTGTTGACTGGCTTCACCCCCAACTGGGGCCTGGTAGGAGGTCCACCACTGGACCCCTGCCTCCCGGTGGTCTTCCGTGGCCTCACAGATCCTGCGGTCAGGGAAACACCTTAGGAAGTTCCTGACTTCAGTAAAGGTCTTGGAGGACTTTAAAGAACCAGTGTGGCCCCTCCCCGGGACATACCCAGGGAAGTAGGATTCAGTCCTTCCTTCAGTCCTTCCCCTGAAGCTGGGCTGTACGTTTTAAACCTGCCCCTCAGCCCTGTAGAAATGTCTGGGTGCTGGCAGGGTGCTCCCAGTTACTTTGGAAGTCAAAGGTCAAAGAAAGGTCCAGTTTCCCTTCTCTCTGCCTGGCCCAGACACTTGCTGGGGTCCAGGAGACCCCTAGACTGGGGGCACCAGTAAGGAAGGAACTTTACCATTGGCTGGGTTCCCTGTCCAGTATCAGTCCCTGGAGGGCCAAAGGAGAAGCGACAGTTTTCTGGAGAGAGTCACTTTAGAAGCCCTCACAGCGGGACTCCCAGCGTCCCCTCCTCATTCTGCTGAGGATCCCCCAACTTCAGAAGTTCAAGCCTGCCCAAGGCCCTCAGACCAGGGAGAGGGTCCTTGTCCATCTCCCACCCACCGGACCAGGGACTCCACAGTCCACAGGGCTCGGGGCACCTCTTGGCTCTGACCTTGTGTCGGAATTCCCGGGCCACCTTCCGGTCCATGGCTGAACCTAATCCAGTTGCGTCCCCGCAGCTCAACCCGCTCCTTAGGGTGCCGGTCTGCGGTGCCGGGTGAGTCAGCCACCAGATGGAGGACACGCCTTTCCCGGGGCTAGGGGCGGGGCCTGGGAGAAGCAGGGGCGGGGCTGGGAGGAGAAAGGGCAGCCTGGAGACGGGGTCCCCTGTCCTGGAGTTCAGCACCGAGGCCCTGAAAGTGAAGGGGCTCCGCTGTGTGGAGGTGCTAATGGGGCCTTGGTTAGTGAGGCTGGTGGCTCTTTGGAGTGGTTCCCCCCACAGGTGGTTAAGGCAGAAGACTGTGGAGAGGAGACTTCCGGCAGAGGGGGTGAGAGATGGTTTGGAGCTTCGTTTCCTTTTTCAGAGAGTGCCCCATGTAGCCCAGGCAGGCCTTGAACTCAGTATGCAGCCAAGGAGATAGTCCCCAGAAGTCCTTGCCTCTACCTCCCAAGTGCTGGGATCACAAACCTGGCCCAATGTGTCCAGCTGAGGTTTGGAACATTTTGGGATGGCGTTGGTGTAGAAGTTCGGAGACCCTTCCTTCATGGAGCTGGACTCCCAGGCAGAAGCCACGGCCTTCCTGAGCCCACCTCTCCACCCCCATTCCCACCCCAGCCCCCACCTCCACCCCTTACTCCATACACTTCTCACCTTCTGCTAGGTTTCACCCAGGCCTCTTCCTGGGGGCAGGGCAGGCTGGGTCCTTCTGTGTTTGGGGGTGGGCTGCCAGTGTGGGGGAACGCCCCCAGCCACTGACTCACTTCTCCCCTCTTCCTTACCTGCTCGGTCCCCAACAGACCAGGAAGTAACCCAGCACACACATTCACTGGTGTGTGGTGGGGTGTGGACCTGGTGCCTGACTTTAGCAGAGGAGGGGCCTGACATGCTCAAGCCGCGTTAAGGGATGGACAAGGAGATCAGCAGTGGCCCAGATGAGGTAGGCACTTAACAGCTGTAACTTAGAGACATGAGGAGCCTCTTTAGATCCCTCTGCCATTTGCCAGGGTTTAGCAAGCAAGCTGTTTTCGTGGGTGCTAAACTACGGCCTAGATTAAGATATAAATTATGCCTGGGAAAATAACTAGGAAAAGGTCATCTGTGTTCTCACCTCCTGATCTAGTTTCACTCCGCTGCTGTGAAAAACACTCTGCCCAGGAGCAACTTGGGGACAAAAGGATCGTTCCATCTTTCGCTTCCAGGTTGAATCCATCCTTGACCGAAGAAAAGGCAGGAACCAGCAGGAAGTTGAAGCGGAAACTGTGGAGGAGCGCTGAGCGCTGCTCTGGCTCTCTCTCTGGCTTGCTCGCTCCCAGGCGCGTGCTTAGCTAGCTTGCATGTAAAGAAAGCTCAGGACCACTTGTCTAGGGATAGTGGCGCCCACAGTGGGCTGTGCCCTTCTGCGTCAATTAATAAGACAATCCCCCTAGACACGCAAGCCCACAGGCCAGTCTGACCCAGGTAGCTCCTCAGTCAAGGCTCTTTCCTCTCAGGTGACTCTAGGTTGTGTCCAGTTGACAGTTAATGGAAACTAAGATTCTTTGCTATTTACTGGGTAAGTCGGAGAAAACTCTGAGGCGTTTAGTGGCTCAGAGAAGACCACACGAGATATAGTCCTCTTTCGGTTTACATCTTTGAGTCTCTGCCCTTCTTTTCCTTCTTTTTCTTTTTTTTTTGAAAGTTTATTTATTTATTTATTTATTTATTTATTTATTTATTTATTTATTTATTTATTTATTTATTTGTGTGTGAGTGTTTTGCTTGCATATATAGGCATGTACACTGTGTGTGCGCGTGCCTGGTGCCTGGAGAGGCCAAAGAGGGTTCCTAGAACTTGAGTTATGGTCAGTTGTACAGCATGTGGGTGCTGGGAACTGAACCCCAGTCCTCTGCAGGAGCACAGGCACTCTTCCCCACTCAGACACCTCTCCAACCTCTGCTGCGTTTCTTAAGTATGTCACGTGGCTGTTGGTCTCCTATTTAGAATCCAGAACAAAGAATGTTCTGACCCAGAAGAACACAGCCCGCAGCCAGCTGGCCCTTCTTTCCGGTGACCACAGACATTTTTTAAAATACTACTCTCTATTGATTTTTCATGTGGCACTGGGTCCTGATTCTCTTTCCACAAATGCCTCTGCTCTGAGACCACCCTGTGTTCTGCAGGGCTCTGTCGGTGACTCTCAGCTGTCGTCCCCGAGAGGCCAGCTTACCCACCATGTGTTTAGAACAGTAAGGGGCACAAAGGAGACTCTCAACAATCTGCTAAGTGAGTGTGTGCATCCCAAATTATACCCCTACCCGGGGCTTTGTCGGGGGCCAAGTCTTCCTGGACACGACACACCTCTTGTTCGTAAAACCGAAGTTGTTGTTGCCACTCTGGCCTTGATGGGGACAGCAAAGCCCTTTGGTCACACACGGTATTTCCTGAGCCGGCACTGGCATCCTGAGGACTAAGGCATGGCCTTCCCGGTTTGAGCCCTTACCGAGGATAAGATGGCGACTTGGGGCCCAGAGGGAAGCCAGAGTGGGCAGCCATGGAAGCACAGACTGGGACTCTGCAAGCCCGAGCCCAGCCCTGCCAGACTGCCCAGTGGCATGTCCCAGGCCGAGTGTAGCCTTCTGTGAACGGAGAGAGGGTAGGTAGCTCTGGACTGTACCACAACCACAATGTCTGTTTTCACTGGAAGGGGCTTCTAGGACCCAGGTGAGGAGATTGGAGTCTGTGCAGGGTGCCTCCTTGCTCCCCCAGGGGACTTCCCTGGGGAGGGGTAGTTACCAGTTACCGTGGCCGTGAAGGACAGAGGAGGGGCTACAGCCCGGCTCTTAACTTATGGTAATGAGCTGGGCAGCCCTGTAACTCTAGCCCGGGGAGGAGTCAGGTGCCTGGGAGGAGGGCCTTAAGGAGCGGCGGGGCTGAAAGCCGAGGGACAGCTGCTGCCCGCGGAGGTGTGACCCACCCAGGAGCAGAGCCCAGCGGCAGGCTCTCCCGTCGCCTGGCACCCCGATGGGAGCCCGTGCCCCCAGGCTACACTTGCTTCTCTCTTGTTTCTGTCTGTTCGGGGTTGAGCCTGCTACGGAGTTCATGCAGGTGCAGCGTCAGGGTGAGGAAGGAAGGGGCTGCGAACTGGGGAAGCCCGGGGCTGGGGGAATGTTTAGGGGAACAGGTCTGGGCAGGTTGAAGAGAGCGTGGAGACAGATGGTGAGAGGACGGGCAGAGACCCGTGAGCGGGGAGGCAGATATGGAGACAGCCATGCCTGGGACCCAGATGGCCCTAAGTTGGAGACTCAAGAGACCCAAGGTGGAGAACTCGAGAGAACAGAGGCCCAGGGAGTAGAAGGAAAGAGGGAGACCTTCTCTGGAGAGTCCTGGGAGCTGGAGAAAGGACTTGAGAAAGCTGGAGGTGGGGCGGGCACAGGCAGTGCTGGGTTGTGGGGGTCAGGCTTCCCAGCCAGTGGGAGGGCATGGTGGGAGGCCCCGCGCAGGGGGCTTACCTGGAGTGGAGACCACCATCCCTCCTTAGCCCATCCCTCCTTAGCATCAGCACTTACATGGAGAGCCAGTGCCGAGCTGCAACGGGAGCCCGCTCCTGAGCCCAGGTGAGTGCATCTATCCACTGCCTCCCATTTTATCTCGGCACAAATGGTCCAGGGGCTTAGCATTCAGGGAGGCCTGGGCTTCGGGGTGAGTGGAAGCAGGTCTGCTCCTACTCCCCACCTATGGCAAGCTCATTTCTCATCTAGTCACAGCTACCAGGAGATGTCCCTTGCAGAAGATGTCACAACCGTGATGGATGGCCAGGTAAGAGATGCCTGGGGGAGGGGGTGTCGCTGGGGAAGGGGCTTCTGTCTGGGCCTGAGGTAATCAAAGATCTTTTTTGGGGGGTTATTCAGAGAAGAGCTAACACTCCTGGTGTCTGAATGTGCTCATTCGTGAAATCCATGTGTTTTTCTTTTCCTAGTCTCTTGGGTCCCTAGTGATTTTTTTTAAGGAAAGGTGGGCACAAGGCTCTTTCAGGAGATAGCTGAGTTCCCCTCCACCCCAGAGGACAGCAGGCAGGTGTGGGTTTAGGAGAGCGATGTTCTCCTTCTCTTCCCTGTCTGGCCCATGAAAGCCTGAAATCCTATTGCAGGCTCCTCTCCATACCGTGTGCAGTGCCCCAGGAAGGCAGCTCTGAGAGGCAAGGGCAAGAACTGGGCCACCTGCTGGGGGCTGCAAGGAAAGACTAGTCAAGGAGCAAAGCCAGAGAGGTGGACAGAGCTTGAGGTTGTCCTCTGACCTGCATACTCTCACGTGTACACACACACACACACACACAGAACACATGCACACATATCCACAAGAGAGGCATGCACAGACACACACAGACATGCACACACACAAAACACACACACACACACACACACACACACACACACACACACACACACTCCGCTGACTCCTGACTATTCCCTGGGGCCCACCCTCCGGGATCCTTTGCTTTTGAAGGTTTGTTTTCTCCATTTGCCAAACTTTGGTGATCTCTGGATTGGATGACTCAGATTCTCTTTCTAATCCCGGCTTCCACTTGTCTTCTTTATTCCACAACCACAGACACCTTACACATCAGTCCACCGATGGTGAAGTTCCTTCAGAAGGCTTGACCCTCAGCTGTGTCCAGCTCCCTTTGGGCCAGCGAGTTAAGGGGAATGATTTATACTGTAAAAACTGTCCCTGCTCTCTGCCCTACATGCACAGGGTACACAAGCCCAGCATGGGCAAAGGCAGCATGCTCCTGTCCAGGGCTTGTTTTTCTTCTCATCGGCCTGCTCTTCCAGGTGTCGGGTTCAGGATCAGAGTCCTATACTATTTGAGTTGAAATGTGGAAGTCGAAAGGGCTTTCTTCTCGTAGACAGGGCAGCTGACTTTTTGGGACCCCACAATGAGCAGGTAGACCAAAGTGTTGTTGGAGCCAGGTCTGCCCCTCTGCCCACAGGACTCTAGAAGTTCATGCATTTTCACAGGGATAGTGACTCTTACATCCATACGCCTCATTCCCACTGGACAGTATGCTTCCCTTGCTGGTTTCCTGGCTAGGCAACTTCACCCACTTCCACTGAGAGGGGTCTAGTCTTAAGAGTTTCTATGGCGACGATAAGATACCATGACCAAAAGCAACTTGGGGAGGAAGGGGTTTATTTCATCTACAATGCTCAGCTCACAGCTCATCACTGAGGGAAGTCAAGGCGGACAGGAGCCTGGAGGACAGGAGCCTGGAGGTAGGAGCTGAAGCAGAGGCCATGGAGGGATGCTGCTTACTAGCTTGCTCCCCATGTCTTTCTCAGCCTGCTTTCTTAAACCATCCAAGACACTTGCCCGGGGGTGGTACTTCTCCAGTAAGCTGAGCACTTTCAAATCGATTATCAGTCATGAAATTCCCCCACAGACTGGCCTACAGGCAAATCTTATGGAGGCATTTTCTCAGTTGAGTCTCTCTTCCCAAATGACTCCTGCCTGTGTCAAGTTGACGTGAAACTAACGCACACAGGTCCTGAGCATCCAGTCCAGGTGACACAGGGAGATAGCCCCCATTATTCCAGAGTTAAAAGGACTGACAGTACTCTCCCTATGCAGTAACTGGGGACCCGAGGCCCCCGGATTGTGGATGCTTTGGGGGTTTCTATCCAGAATGCCTGGTCTAAGAAAGTAGGGATGGGTTCCAGACTAGTAGCCAAGCAAGCTTACTTTCTTTTCTTTTTCTTTTTTGAGACAAGGTCTTGCTTCATGTCTGTGGTTGGCCTAGAACTTGCTATATGGACCAGGCTGGCCTTGAGCTCACAGCATCCACCTGCCTCTGTAGAGCTCAGGTGTTCTCCAGAGGACTAGAGGTGTAACCAGGAGGCCATGAACCAGGCCGAGGAAAAAGACACTGTTATTTCAAACACCAAGTGAGGTTTAGTATACTTTCGATTACTGCGACTGTAACCACGGGAGTATTAACAGTGCCAATTACTAAAGGGAGCCCCAGGGGTTTCCTGTCACCAGCAGATGACAGTTATGTTTGCTACTCTTGAAGATGTACAGTTTCACTCAAGCACACATCAATAAAAGGTTTTCATATTTACATTACAACATAATTGGTTTCCTTTGTAATCTTAGATTTTATGCATTTACACAATTTTATGAGACGGTGCCGCCACAGGCCTCACCAGACTGTTAAAGGGGTTCATGACATGAAAACGATTACAAACCCCTGGTTTGTCCTGAGGACTAATTATTTGGACGAGATTTAGAGAATTCTCCAAGCCAGGGGTGATGCCAACACTTGGGAGTGGAGGCAGGAGGGTCAGGAGTTCAAGTTACCTTTGGCGAAATATCAATCCGGTAAAACGAAGACTTTTCCAGGAAATGGCTTTGGTGCTTTGTAGCTTAGAAGCCGCATCTGAGGTGGTAAGGTGGCTGCATTTACGAAGGCTGTGCTTGATTAGAAGCTGTCCAGGGACCATGGGAGGAGGGTGGCAACTGTTCCCTCCACACACCCTTCCCTGTTCCCTGAGGTCTCCGAAGGCCCTGAGGATTGCCAGCAAGGTGGGACACCTGATTCCTGGGGCTACATAAGAATTTCTGGGGAGATCCGGGGAGCCAGGGGCTAAAGTGAGGGGAGACCATGGAAAACTGACAAGGCTTGGTCAAGGACTTCCCAGTCTGTGAGAAGGAGGTGGTTTGAGCACCTGGTGGACAGGAAGTCAGACTTCACCTGCCAAGGTCGGGGGGTGGGTGGGGGTGGGGCGAGCTTGGCTGGGCTCCAGGCTTCCAACATTCCTTTTGTTCTGAGTGCTTTGCTGGAAACGGGGCTTCATCTTGGGCATGATGAGATGCTGAGAAAGGAGACACGGGAACCGAATACCCCGGTGCTCAGAACTCACTGTTCTCTGTCCCTAAAAGGAGGCTGCAGCCCTAGATGCGGTGGCCATGTCTTCATGGGAAAGGCGTCTCCACCGGGCCAAGTGTGCACCATCTTGTGAGTTGTGCCCTTCTCGTGACCCACGCATAGGAGAGTCTGGGAAGGCACCACTTGGGAGCCCCTTCCTGTGCGTCTTCCCCAGCTTGGCCTGCAGGGCCTCTCCGTGTCCTGCTCACACTGTCTGACCCGTGAGATGGTTGGTCCCTCACCCCACCTCACACTTCTTCTGGTCTCGCTTCCTACTTCCTGTGGGGCGGTCCTGCCGTGTGTTACTTCCTGTAGTCTCCTCACCGCTCCTGTATATAAGGCTTTCTCGCCTCCCCCAACACGTATGTCTAGTCACGTGTCCCGTGTCTGTGCTGCCCCCATCAGAGTCCTGTGTCCCTGACTCCTTCCCTCACCATACTGTCTCCTCCCCGTGCGTGGTCATTCTCTCTCCTGTGTTCTCACACTCATCCCGTGTGAGAGTGAACAGTGCCTCTCCTTGAACAGTGAACGCACGATGCGGCCTCTCCCTGCTCCCCTCAAAGCCTTCCTAGTCTTGGTCTTGCTGTCTTGCCTGTTAGCCAGGAGCTTAGCTTAGAGAACTGGAGTCCCGGTCAAGTGGCCTCAGGGCCACTTCACGCATTCTAAGGCTAAGGTTCTAAGACTGTACCCTGAATTTCCATCAGAAAATGGACTGTGCTGTGGTCTTAGGCATCCTGTGTGGCTCCCGTCAGTTGGCTGTCTCGGGCAGAGGCTTCACTGCCCTGGTGCCTGTTGTGGGGAGGTGTGTGTCCCGGTTCTGCTGGTCCGGTACAGCGGGGAACCTCCCTGTGTCTCTCTTACAGACTTGTTCTCCTGCTTCAACGGGGGCGAGTGTGTGCACCCAGCTTTCTGTGATTGCAGACGCTTCAATGCCACTGGACCTCGTTGCCAGCTGGGTAGGTCTGATCTCTCCAGCCCCAGGAGGGACCATGGGTTCAGAGAGGCTGTAGGGCCAAGAGCTGAGAGCCTGGGGGACAGAGGTGGTCCTGCCAGGTCTGGAACCCACCAACCTCCAGCACGGCGCTCATGCAGAGCCAGGCTCACTTTGCTCTGTCTCAGTGTATAACGCCGGCCCTGAGCGGGACAGCATCTGCCGGTCCTGGGGGCAGTACCACGTGGAGACCTTTGATGGCCTGTACTACTACCTCTCTGGAAAGGGCAGCTACATGCTGGTGGGACACCACGAACCGGAGGGCCGGAGCTTTTCCATCCAGGTGAGGCCTCCCCTCTTCAGCCCTGCTGGTCCATGCAGGCTCCACTAGGCACTGGGAGCTGGGCAAGGCCGGGACCTTCCTTTTGCACTTTCCCCAGCTCCCGGGACTCCGTGTCTAGAAGGAGCCACGGTCTCTAAGCCCTTGCTCACCACTTGCCCCCGGCTGCCCATTTGATCATTTAGTCAGGCAATGGTGCGCACTGTGCCCTTTTCCTGAGTACCGAGTTTCACGGTGGGATGCCCTTAGGACGGCAGCACAGGCCTGGCCTTGGTCCTCGAGGACCTTCACTGTAATAGAGAAACCACGGCACACGACACAGGTGCCACGGGGAGCTGCGGTGGCAAAGTGTGGAAGCCTGCAAGGCCGTGTCCTGGGCACCTGACCTGGACTCTGTGAAGGATGGCAGTGACAGAAGGTTTCTTACAGGAAGTGACGTTTATTGAGATAGAAAAGGAGACTCACTGGAGGTCGCCAAGAGGAGAGAAGTGGGGTTGGGGTGACAAGGCATTCTAGACAGGAATGCTCATGCTAAGAAAGAGTGTGGTGCCTCGGAGAGGATGACGGGAATCTTGGGTGACCCTGTGCACACTGCCTTCCCCTGGGAGCCTTCCTGTGTCTCCTGACGTCCCAAGCAGCAGCAGAGGAGACACTCTGGGTGGAAGCCCCTCACCTCGCCACAGGTGTCTTACACCAACTGTTTCCTGGCCGGTCTTCTTTCCCACATGAGACCTTTCCGGGCCAGACCATGTCTTTGGGGCTTGTTCCCTGAACCGAGATGAGTGTGTTTGGGCAAAGCTTGTCAGACATCTGAATGCCGTGTGAGATTGGGCGTCCAACAGATCTGATAGGCATTTCTGATGAGGGCACCATGGCTGGCTGTGAGCTGCAGGGGCGGGATTAGGGTTAGGGAGTTCTTTGTGCTCACGCGGGGGCATCCCTCTCCTGGCTGGCTGTGACCCTTCTGCCTCAGGCCTAGACTGAAGGTCATGTCCTGGGTGTCTAGGTGCCATGACAAGCGTCACTTCCTACGTCTC